GTATATATATACATATTTCATATAAATTGTAACATAAGAAAATAATAATTGCCTTAAGGCCTTTGTTGCTCTGGCTTCAAATTGTTATTAAGAATTGATTCTTTGTAACGATTAAATAAATAAAATCAAAATAATAATAATAAACAATTAAATAAATTTGGTCGAAAATAAGTCCTTACCTATTAAAGTTTTTCTTTAAAAACGATTTGCCCTACTACAAATTAACTTAACGAATGGGAGACTTAAGTCACTTGACTCAAGCTCAGCTCTTACATATTTTTAGCTAAGGAGTCAAACGCCAATGCTTGCCTCGATATTAAATTTTCATGTCTCTAGAGCTTGGCAGGTTTCACTTTGGGTCCGTAGATACTTACTCACAACCATCAGCTTGTAGGCGAGGCTGATTTTGGGCTCCGTGGAGACCTGGCACTCATAGACGCCGGCGTCGCGCGGCTGCACGGACACGATCTTCAGCACCCACTCGTCGGAGTTGTCGATGTGGCGAGCGAGGAAGCGCTGATCATTGGTGTAGGTCATGATGCCAATGGTCAGGATGTGCAGGTCGCGCTGCCTAATCCAGGAAACGGCGCGATCGCCCAGATGACGGACACGGCAATGCATGCGGGCCGTGGTGCCGAGGGCGGCAATTATCTCGCGCTCAGTGTTGTTGTCGAACTGCGGCTCGTACTCGTCCGGTATCAGATTGGAGAGCTCCTCGGCCCGTGCTGCGGATGGACAGGAGAAGTTGGTTTGCAATGTGGTCAGTGACTGCTGTCAATAAACGCTTGTCAAGTGGCTAAAAACTACAACATTGTGAGACTTGCCGCACTCTATCAAGCACACTCACACTCACACTTACGCACAGACACACCATAGACACTTGAAAAGGGTATTAGATAACTGTATCTAAATGTCAATCTAAATGTATTCATGTGCATTTATATTCAACATCAACGTCTACGTTTCTATCCAAATCGGAATGATGGGCCAACACGCTGCAAAAGACAGCTCGGCAAATGGATATGAATGAGTGTGAGTGTTCGGGTGTCTGTGTCTGTGCCTGCGTCTGTGCCTACGTCTGTGCCTGCGTCTGTCTGTGTGCGAGTGAATGAATGGCCACACTACATACGAATCAACATTCATTTGATTAACGAGTATTTGTGCTTAATTTATGCCAAAGTTTACCATCTTATTGGCATACATACTCGTAATACACTTCACATATGGATTTGTGTGTGTGTGTGTGTGTGAGTGTGCCTGAATGGCTGAGACCAATTCGCATTATGATCCATCATTGGGGTCTCACTTGAGGCGAGTGATTTATGTGAAGGCCGCTTTATCAACGTTCTGTATTAGCCAACAAATCCGCTAATAATCCACGACTGCCTAAACAAATACCAACGCAAAGACAAATACACACAGAGAGAATGCGAGCATGTGCCTACTTAACAAACATCATATACGCAAATATGTATGTGTGTGTGTGTACACATATATGTTTCAGTGTATTGATTTATTGTCACGCCCATTAGCCCATGTGAGCTATCAAATATCGAGCAATAAAATGCCGCTAAACACTTAATTGAAACTGTTGCTACACTCGTTACAGTTACAATGGAGCCGCAACCTGCACCACACGTGCCGCCCCCGCCAAACATTTTACAAATGAAATTGCTTTTTGTGTGTGTGTTGCACAATAAAACTCACACAATTTACACACGCATATAAAAAATAAATATGGAATGCGCTGCTTCTTCTTTTTTTAATAAAACTTTTGTATTTACATACAAAGTGCCAGACGCCGTTCAAAAGTAACCAGTGCCCTATACTTCTCTCTCTCTCTCTCTCTCTCTCTCTCTCTCTCTCTCTCTCTCTCTCTCTCTCTCTCTCTGTGTTTTTTGTAGGTTTTTCAAACTGTTGAGTTCAACCGCAGCAACAAGCTCGACCATGCCCGAACCACAGTCAGCACTAAAACTGAGGCCAGGTGCCATAAATAATAAATGAGAAATTGCCCCTGCTTTGCCAAAAAAAAAAAAAAAAAAAAAAAAAAAACAAAAAAAAAAAGAAAGAAAAGCGAGAGCAAAAGAAAAACAAATAAACACCCAAGCGAATAGCTCTTTTGTTTTCACAAGTCCCCGAAATGAGCACTTGCATGCAAAATTTACTAAATTTATTAAGATACTTTGCAGCGCTTTTCCTAAGTCAATATGCAAAAATGCACTACGATATTTATGTATATTCAATATAAATGTAATTCTAAACCACATTGGAGCTAATGAACTCAGGCAGCAATTTATTGGAATGAATTGGTAAAAAAATCGGAAGATCAGTCTAAAGTATAAACAATCATTAATCAATTGAACTAAGTCATTAGAATCCATATCTTACACACAATAAATTTTTGCGTGCAAATGTATATACATATACTTGATAATAATATCATATTGCATTGACTATATAAAAAACATATATATGTATATTTGAAAGAGAGTTCTATAATCCTTTGCTGCAATTAATGATTTAAATTACAAATCGAATTTCACTTTAAATTAGATAAGCCTTTACATTGTAATTTATAATTCGATAAAAAATAAAAAACGGTGTGCTAACTTTTTTTGTTTTTGTTATAAATGGTATTGTTTTACAATTCGAAGAGCTATTTTATATAAATTTAATATTACATTTTTTTAAATGTAAATTTCCATTGTTTGCCTCACTTGCATTTAAATGAAAATTACACATACATATATAAATGTAAATATTACATAAATGTAATATTAGATTATTTTTGTTTTTTTGTTTTTTTTTTTTTTTTTTGCATTAAATTTTTTGTGCAGCCTATTTGCACTTACATAACAGAAATTCAATATAAAGTAATGCAAATATGTATAGTCCGTGAAGAGCCCATACAAATAAGAAATATATGAGAGGCTCGTTAATTTGTACCCAGCTAAATAAAAAATCGCAATAAATCGAACAAAAATTGGCTTCCCTTGACAAAATTCGTTCTCGATAATTCTCGATAGTTTGAATTTCTGTGTGAGTCGAAACAAGAGCTTAACACCTTGCCATTTCGAATTATCGGGACTCGACTGTATTACAAATAGATTTAGCTCTGCTCTAAGCACTTCATGTAATTATCTAATTTTAAATGTTCAGTGCAGTAGGGAGACTTATTATGTTCTATGATGACTGTGCTGAAACACTTGAGACACCTCAAGTGCTCATATTGCTGCCTTGATTAAGTGCATTCTCCTGAGAGAAATAATAATTATGCTCAATCTAGCTGCACTCGAGACTGACTCCATTTAAATATAATTTTCCGCCCAGGCGGGCATCTGTCGTGTTCGTTTGGTCAAATTGAAACAGTTTAAGCCTTGTGATAAATTAGTCAACATTTCGACAACTTGACTTGAGCTACGAATCCACTTTCATTTCTCGCTCTAAAAGTTTCGTTCGTGCTCTGCTGTTGGAGTTGGCAATTGCTCTATATACACTTATAGATATATAGATATATGTGTTTGCTGAATACTTACCAAAGTGTCGCATGTGGCTTGTGTGCTTATCGAATGTTGTGGTTAATCCCATGATCACAAGCATCGCCGCAAAGTATTCCAACAACATTTCATGCGCAATTTGTGATGCTATTAAATTATGACTGCAACCAAAGACGACAACAGTAAAAACTAATTAAAATAAATGATGGCAATCGCAAAGCTCAAGACAAAGACACTGCCAGCGACTTAAATGAGTCAACGCCATATTGTTTTGCCAGCCGTCAGCCAAGGACCGACGACCGCCAGACTCGATTTATAAGGACACACGACTCCAAGCGACGTAGGCGGGAGGAGGGCAGGGGAAGGAATTGCCGTTTGCGGACGCGTTAGCAGCGGAAGGGATTAGATTTTGAGTCCTAAGTCTTAAGTCTTATCGGAGACGGAGTCCCATTCATTTGAAATGATGACAAGTCCGCATTGCGGTTGAGTTTTCAATCACCATGACATCCGCAGGCAGCTCGTTGGAGTGATTCGGATGGCCGTAGGCGGGGGAGGGGGAAGGGGAGGGGAGCTGCCAAACTTGAATAATTTCTTCATTACACACTAAGCTGCTGGGGCAATCGGTAGGTGGACGTTTACTTTTTGGCCCGTGGCTATAATTTCGGTCTGGTCACGTCCGACTAATACACTTAATTGTACGAGCACCCATGCTCCGACTCATTGCCACTCATAGACACTCAAAGATACTCATGAGTCTTAGTTTTCGTGTGCGGTATGGGGATATTCTCATTTCTACCTTTTGCGAGGGACTAGAGCAATTTGTGGACGATGCGTTCGGATTCAATGTAGCGCGAATTGCGTGCCGCCATTTCATGCGTCACGTAACGCATTCAAGCGCGTTGCGTTACTTATACGTACACGTATTACGTTACACGTTACACGTTACACGTTACACGTTACACGTTACGCGAATTTCTGCTTTACTTTGATTTTTTCTTTGCCTGCCCGAACTTGAACACAACGCTCGCTAGAGCAACGAGCGGCCCGATTTGTTACGTTGCGTGTTGCTTCGTGTTTAACTCGTGACTGAGTCACGGCGAGTCACAGTGAGTCACCGGGTCACTTAGTTATCTCCTCGCACAACTACGTTCTGTGTGGCTTGAGGCGCGCTAAAGAACTGAAAGCATTCTGAAAACTAACCTACGCAAAGAGTGGCTCTGCGAGTGCTTCGGCTCCTGCGCAGGCGCCCTGCTCCCCGTGTGGCAGCAACATGTTGCAGCAACATTTATCGTAAGCGTAATTTAATTGTAACACATACCATTAGGCCACTGCCATGTTGGGCGCTTACGGCTTGAGAATATACGTATAAATGGAAATATAAATGTGTAAAGGCCCCATGCAGCTAGGCATTCCATGCGTCTTTTGGCGAAGGAAGTGCCTATGAAATATTTAACAAGGGCTGGAGCACGCAGCGAGAAACACTTTCAAAGTGTCCTTTGATTTGTGTCACGCTACAGAAGCAACAACAACAATGAAAAGAGCGACAACAGCAGCAGCAGGGCGGAGGCGCAACAATTGAAGCAGAAACAGGAACAACATTAATAAAATGGCAAAAACTCATGCATGACAAGGCCCGTTTTACAAGTTTTGTCAGGGCGCGTCTCAATTGAAAACGGAAAGCGCACACCCGCCTACACCCACACACACACACATATGCACATAGTGACACACGCATATGCAAATACCGTGACCCATTATGCTAGAGCGGAAACGGATATGAAGCCTGTCGCAGCTGGGTGGCAACACTGGCGGCAGCGCCTTATCAAAATCGATGAGGCAACATATGGTCGATTTTAATTTTCTAGCATGCAGACAACGACAAGGACAACGACAGCGAACCAATACACACACACACACACACACACACACACACACACACACACACACATACTCACACATACGCACACACGCACATAAACGTGTCGTCCTTAATGCCAATTCGTTTAGCATATTTTCTTTAGAAATTGAATTTTCAAAGTTATTATAAATATTTTGTCAGATAAATGCAATTTCAATGGAATTTTTCACATTTTACCTACGCGCATTTCCTTTTCATAAGGCAACATATTTCTCTACCTTGGCTTGTTGTTGTTTTGCCACTAAAGCGTGCAGAAAAATTGAGAAAAACAAATCATCGAATTGCCAAAAATTGTCGCCCAACAGGCGCTCAGACCACCCACCCGACCCAAGACACTCAATACTCTGTACACTAGCCCACTTGGCATCTATTATTTTACACTAACAAGACGATAACATTCCTCAACTTTTCCAAGACCCCCCAGAGAAAGTCGCTGCGCCCTCCCCTCCCCTCCCGAGCACAGTATCCCCCACTTCTTCACTTTCCTGGCAACACATCGCTCAATACTCTAAGTGAAATTTTATGCACAAGTGGGTAGCTCCGCGTGTTATGGCTTCCGCGTTAGGTTCAGGGGAATGCCAGGGAGGGAGCTGTACGAGGGTGGATGAGGGGGAGTATGATAAGCATTCCTCGCATAAAATGTCAAAAATGTTATGAAATCATTTGCGCATCGCTTTAAATAAATTACAATTCATGCCAGTTATCCAACAGCTCAATTAAATTAAGCTGTAGCTTACACATCATAACTGCCATAATAAATAATATATTTATCTAATCTAATTGAAATACATATATTTCATTTGCAGCTATTCTATAAACATTGTAATTAAATGTTAATAGTTCAACACAACTGATAAAAAAGTTGTTTCATTATGATTGTTTGCAAATTTCTTTTGCAATTGTTTACATTTTAAACTAATTATTATTATATGAATGTGTTGTTTTTTTTTTTTTTTTTTTTTTTTTTTTTTGCATTGGCCTACAAAATAAATACGAGCACATATTTCAATTTAAAGCAACGTTTTCCTGGGCAGACAGCCGCCCGACCTGAACTTAACTGCCTGGAATGATATAACACCTATTAGCATAGAACAAGATGGATGGAAAAAGCTTGTTCTGGCCCATTGCTCGTCTGCGAGTAATATATTACCATCTTGTTTTGCAGCAAAATTAGAAAGTATTCCAAGGTATAGCAGAAAATAAGCAAAATAATTTGTCAGCATGCTGAGCAGTATAAATTTGTCGCGGGACCCAACTTACAAAGGAAATAAAGAAGATTTAATTGGGGTCTACAGACATTGTGAAATATGTCTTATTGAACCTGATTATATATTAAAATATTTAATGCGTATTCGTACATAAATTTTGGATATGTAATACACATAAATTTGGTATTATCCTTGAGAGTCTACCCTAACGCAAGTGTTGTAAAAATAGCTATGAACCAAAATTGATGCCCTGAAAATAAATTGGGAATGGGAAAGCTTCATATTTGGTTTCATTGACCTGTGTAAACTTCGGGCTAAAAATATAACTGCATTTGGTAGGCCTCCCCTTGTTTTGGGGAATGTGTTAAGCAACCCCTAGCGGCCGACCTCTGGTACTCCATTTGTTATTGTTGCTGAGAGGCTTGGACGCGGTGCGTCTTCGATTTGGACATTGATTGCATACGGAATTGATGGAAATACCGACACGCCGCCGGGCCATAGGCGGGAAGGGCGGGGCTGGGGGCACTCTGGAGTAGAAAACGACCCAGTGTTGGGGGATATGGGGTGATAACACGCTGTTATCCCGACGGGCAGCCCATCCACGGGGAAATTGAATGTGGGGCGTGTGTAAAATTGATAACTTTGTTTGTGTAAACAGCGTCGCGACATTCAACCACTCCACAGCTGGAAAGCTCCACCCCTCAGTGGAATCGACAAATTTTACTCGACATGATGTATGTGTGCGTTACGTGTGCGTGTTTATCGCGCATACGTAACGTTGCCTCACACACACACAGATATATGTAAGCGAAGGCACACGCATACACACCATGCGAATTATCGGTGTCAATTTTTATGCTGCTACGTGTGCGAAATTTAACAGTGAGCACCTGATGATGAGTGGACGCACACGCCATGCTTTACCTTTTCAAAAGCGAAATGCACCCGGTACAAGAACAACAACGGCACTGACAACAACAACAAGGARCAGCAGCAACAAGGAGCAGCCAGCAGCAATAGCACATAAAACGATGTTGCCCAATTTGGCATTACATTTTGGTCCATTGTTGTCGACATTGAGTCGATAACGAAATGAATCCAAAACAGAGAGCAAAGCGCATAGAGAGAAAGAAAAAGAGAAGGAGTGAGCGAGAGAGAGAGAGAGTGAAGCACACAAAATAAACAATAAAAGCAAAAGCAACAACAATCACAAAAGGACAGCAGCAACAACTGAAGCAACAGCAATACAAGCAACAGCAACACTTGCAACAAACGATTAACTATGCCTGACTGGAAGTTACCCTATAAGAAGCTTAGGCTTGAAACTGCTTTAGAGTGTGCAATGAATTTCGTTCCTAAGCCCATACAAAAATTCTTTGAAATTGTTTCAATCGCGCTTTTATTCGATTGTTCGATTGAAATATCGATAATAATAGATTTTCAATTGAAATAGAAGGCATTAACGAAATATTTGTAAAGCTCATGCATATCGTATGATGTATTTTTCTAAAAATATTCCCTATGTATTACATATTATGTATCGTATCTTCCTAAATATATTGTATTGCAATTGCCTAAGAATATTACCCATAATTAGAAGACCATCTGTTGGGCAACCCAGCAATTGGTCTGATATTGTAAGTTGCCTTTTAAGAGAAACATATTTACAATGCCATGGCGGCTATTCGTTCCATTATCTCTCTATCACTCACATGCATGTTTGTTCTCATGGCTCATTGGCTTGATCTCATTAAGCCGACGCTCATAGGAGACACTAAGCATTGTTCGGATAGTGTAGATGCTCGTGTGTCGACAGCTCTGCAAGTGTATAAAATGATTATGAACATGCATACATACATATTAGTGGACAGCGGAGCAATCATTATCACTGAATATGTTTCTAATATTATAAGACATAAATTCAAAACAATTGTGTACTACAAATAACATTCAAAAGTTATTCGAATTGACTTAAAGCTCCTGAAAATATATAATATAATATTGGCAAATATATTAAACTCAACAACTGTATTGTTGCTTTGTTGCAATCATATTTATCATCTGCAGTAGCAGTGCTTCATTTAAAGTTAGTTAATTATACATTAGCTATTATCTCTGCCATCTCATCTAGTGGGCAACTTTGAAGCCGCTTTGTTGCTACCTTAGCTTGTAGATATTTGAATATAGGGTATGTCAATAGCTACAGTCCAAAGAGACATTGTGGCAAGTAGAGACTGTTGCGTAAAGCACAGGAAATCCAGATGCGAGTCCTTGTTGCTGGTCCAGGATTCAGGAGTGCGCTTTAAGCTTTGCACAACTGTTCATCAGAATTACAAATTGTATTCGATTTCCGGTATTTGTGACGCTTGAGTTAACAATCGAAGTTAGCTGTCGAAAGATGGCACGGCGTCAGCTCTATTATTATTATTTTCTTTTGTTTTGCTTTTTTTCTTTTTTTTTTTGTCGCTGGGTCTGGCTGCTCCAACTAGTCACGCTCCTCGTGCCACACCCACGCACACAATTTAAATGCCATATAAAGTTTTATGCATATTGCGCAATTGCTGCTGTCATTGTTGTTGCTGTCGTTGTTGTTCCTGATTTGTTCGTTAGTTTTACAAGTTTGCGACAAAGTCAACGGAACTGCTCAGTTGTTAAAAACATTTGATTCGATTAGACGGATTGATTTGTATTAACATAGAAAACGCATTGATTTCGCTCACTTGAGCACCCATCAGAAAGGGATGCGATGTCCTTCCTACGTCAATAGTCCTTTGAGCTGGCAAGAAATCTGTCGTTTCCAATCTTCAAATAAC